ACACACACACACACACACACACGCGCACACACACACACACACACACTCACACACACACACACACATACACACACACACACACACACACACACACATACACACACACACACACACACACACACACACCACTCACTCACTCACTCACAATCAATCAATCAATCAAACCTCTTTTTTGAAGTTTTTTCTTTATTTATTTTCAAATTTTGCATCTGCATTTTTTTTAAGCACCTCATACCCCTGCAAAAAACAAAAATTCATTTCTAAAAACTTCAGGTGAACACAGAGACCATATATCTCATGATAAAAAATCACAAAAAAAAAATCCAGCTTTTCTTTATATATATTTTTTGAAGTTTCTTTAAATCGAATCTAGTTTTTTATTTTTTTTAAATCCTAAAACAAAGTCAGATTCCAAAAAAACAAATATGTGGTTTTAGGGCTTAAAATTCCCTACAACCCTTTTTTTTTTTTTTTTTAACCTATTATTTAATTCAGAAAAATTCTGGTAAAATCGGGTCCGCGGCGAGGACCAGGTCAGTCGCGGACGCGGCCCCATCTGCGTCCGCCATCCGATATCGGACCCGCGGACGCGTCCGCGGGTGTTTCATAGCTTCCCTTCCCATCCCCACTCCCCTTCCTTCCCCGAGTTCCCTGCCCCGACTTCCCTCCGCTGAGTGGCCGACCTCCATTCCCTGACTTCCCTCCCCCGACTCCCCTCCCCCGAACCCCCTTCCCATCCCGACTTCCCTCCCTGCACTGACCGCCCTCCCACGACTTCCGTTCCCATCCCGACTCTCGTGCCTCCCCCGACTTCCCTCCGCCAAGTGGCCGACCTCCATTGCCCGACTTCCCCCCCCCGACCCCCCTTCCTATCACGATTCCCCTCCGTGGACTGATCCCCCTTCCCATCCAGACTTCCCTCCCTGCATTGACCCCCCTCCCACGACTTCCCTTCCCATCCCGACTCCCCTGCCTCCGCCGACTTCCCTGCCCCGACTTCCCTCCGCCGAGTGCCCGACCTCCATTCCCCGACTCCCCTCCCCCGACCCCCGTTCCCATCCGGATTTCCCTCTGTGGACTGACCCCCTTTCCCATCCCGACTTCCCACCCTGCACTAACCTCCCTGTCACTTCCCTTCCCATCCCGACTCCCCGACGTCCCTACTCCGACATCCCTATTCCAACCCTACTCCGATCCCCCTCCGCCGACCTCCCTCCCCCGACCTCCCTTCCTTGATTTCCTTCCGCATCCCAGCATGTAGCGGACCCACCAGGTGTGGTGCTCCGCTAGTGACAGAGATGGAGATGGAGGAAGAAGGGGGAGCAAAATGGCACAACGCAGCTCCCCACGCAAGACTCCAACGCACGTACTCCAAAATGTGCAAGTGAGGAATGAGACTGAAAACAGACAATGGCTGGGGTATACCCCAGCGGACTAACAGGACTGG